GAAGACTGAAGGAACTGAAAGACCAGTAGAAGCTCCCCCATTTGAAGTATCTCTAGCATTTAGTAAGTGGGTTAATTTATCTAAAAAAGAAAATTTACACAACACAGGGTAAACAATAACATAGATTGAGGTTGTTTTTCTTTCATGCAAAATTCTGTTTAATCCAAAATAACCAATCTGTCTTGGAATGTTAAGCCAGAATGCTCCTGAGAAGCAAGGATGATGGTAAACTTCATCTCACATGCTTTGGCCATATTATCAGAAGGGTCGTTGGAAAAAGGCATTATGCTTGAAAATGTAGAGCATCAGTGCAGGAGAGGAAGGCCCTTAACAAGATGAATTGAAGATGACTGACAGCATGCACAGCAGAGATGGTGGGCACAACACAGGACTGGACAGGGTTTCCTTCTCTTGTACTTATGGCTGCTGGGAGTTGAAGGTGTCCTGAGAGCATCTAGTAACAAGAGGAAAAGCTAACCAAAAGCTCAGTGGTTTGAACCCAGGGGCCACTCTATAGGAGAATGATGTATCAGCTTTCTTAAAGAAAACCTACAGACAGTTCTACTCTGCTCTTAGTGTTGCTATGAATCAGAACTGACTCAATAGCTGTGTACTATCTTACTGATGAAGGTTGGAGTGAATTGAATTCCTTGTGGTTATAAACAGCTAATTAAGTGACAGAGCCAGAATTGAACGCAGGCTTATGTCACAGAGAACTGGTTTGGAAATCAGAAACTCTTAAATGATGATCATGATTTCTGCATCTCTCCAGGGCACCAAGCTTTATTCTCTTAAACTCCAGTGCCTAATAAAGTGAGGATACATACATTCCACATTTGTAGACTCACTCAGCCCTTCCTTGTCCTCTGAGAACTTGTACATAAGCAATTTTCAGACTTCAATGTTCTTTATAAAAATGCAGAGCTTCATTCATGATTCTTTTTCTAGGGCTGAGACGGGATCAACATGTTTCTTGTTGGTTCTATGCTTGGGCATCCATGGAGAAACCACCACTCTCAAAAGGAGCAGATTAAGGATAGAGATCTTCCTTGACCATCAACCTTCCTCCATCACTGTCACACTTCTCCCTTAATTTTCTCCCTTGATCCAAGTTGATAATGATAGTCATCATAGCCCCCAGAGTAGTACAGAGAAGGAAAGAGCCCTGCAGACATAGGAGTTAAGCTTGCTGACTTCTAAGATCAGTAGCTCATGAGAAAAATATGTAGCTGTCTGCTTCCAAAAACATTTACAGCCTTCTAAGTCTTACAGGCTAGTTCTTTGTCCCATGGAGTTGCTATGGTTTGGAATCAACTCAATAGGCACTATGAAGAGAAGCCAAAGAAGTAACAGGTGCGCCATATCAGAGGCATAAATACATTTACAAGCTATTTTCTAGATGGAAAAGATAAAGGTGGCTATCCTAGATCCCACCCCAGCTGCAGAGGGAATCCTGTCCATATTGTCCTTCTGTCAGATTTCATCATCTATAGTGCTTCTTCACTACCATGCTAATTAATAAGCTTGATACCCTAGACACTTTTGGTTTCAATTCTTTGAAAAATGGTATTTAAAGCTCTTTTCTCCCTCCATGGGCAGCTGAACCACCCAAATCACTTCCTCTTTTAATGTCTCTGTATGTGCAAATGAGTACTGAACTTACTTTGAAGTGCTCTTGTCTGCAGGCTTTCTTCTAAACCCCAGGGTCAAGGATCTTGTTTGAATGATTCAGAGGAAGGAATTGGGGGTAACCAGGACTTTGGATCTATGGGGGATACTTGAGTGGGGAGGCTTCCTCTCTTAAATTCCTACAGGAAAATAACCTGTGGCAGCTATTAGAAATCTCCCATCCAGAAATACAGTGAAATTGCAAGGAAGTTTGGTTTGGCTCAGAAAATACTTGGGAATGCTTAACCCAGGAGATGCCAGTATATGGTGAACTGCCTAGTAATTCAAACAGTGCTTGGTGTCCTTGAAACAAAGCAGACTTCAACTCAAATCTTACCACCACAGTTTGGAAAAGTAACTCAATATCCTTGTGATTTTTCAATGTGTACATTAAAAATACAACAAAAAAGGGGATAATGAACAAACTACTGTTGTAATTTGATTCTGGCATAATTTGCCTGCAGTGAGAATGTCTTGCCACTTTAATAACAGAAATGCAGTTCACAACTAGCCCAAGCAAAAAGGGGAATTTGCTAGCTTACATAATAGGGAAGTCCGGAGATGATTCTGGTTTGACATGACTACAGCCTCCATCCCATCTGTGCAGTTTCACACTGCAGTCAGGTTCTTCCCTTATTAGGGGTGGGGTCAAGTGCCGGCTCTCTTAGTTCAGATCCTCACCACCTCAAAATTTGACTGCTGATCCTAGAGAGAATAAACTGACCCAAATTGGGATGCGTCCCCTGCAGTGATGGGGAAGTTGGGGACATTAGTTTCCCAGTGAGAATAGCAGCAGGAGCGGGGACGGGACAGACGGGGATGACCACGACCCAAACCTCAAAACGACTGCGGCACAGTCTTTTCCAACAGTGACTGGACAAGACAGAGCAGAATTTGCCCAAAGGGTTTCTAGGTTGTACAACTCCCAGGAAGCAAATGGTTACATTTTGCTACTGCACAGCAGCTGGCTGGCTGGCTGGCTGAACCACTGCCCTTTGGCTGGCAGTTGAGTGCTCTGACCACCATACCTCCAATATAGGGACACAGGATGTTTCAAACTCTCAACTTGTCACTACAGGGAGGGCAAAGAGGTGAAGCTATCAACTCTGATCACTCTTTCTCCAGAACTGGGCCCAGAGTCATAGTGCATTGATCAAACATAATAATGATAATGCTTTAAAAATAGAAAACCAAACTTTATTGACAAAAGAAAAAAACAAGTTATTTACAGTAGTTTTTTGCTCAAATAATTCAATGGGAGAACTGTGCTTTTCCTCCAGGTTTAACTCTCAACCAAACCCAAGCAGAGGCTCTACCCACCCCTACCCCCTCCATTTCATACAAGGGGGGAATGCCAATCAGAATTCAGCAGCATGGCTTCACCCACCCTTACTACCACCACCACCACCGATAAGTGTGCTGCAGGAAGGGAAAAATCTTACCCCAACACAGTACACTTTCAAAGTCCCATGCTACAATCATCTGACAGCAATCACACCTGGGTTCAGACATTGGGTAGAAAAGGCTACGCAAATAGCAGCTTCAACTAAGCTGCCATGTTCATTTTCCCCAGATGGGCCTTGGAAGTTGAGGATCCCTGACTCCCTTGGGACTCACAAGGAGAGAAAGGAGGAAGAAGCAAAGGATGTCCAAGAGAGAGCCTAGGGAAAGTGGGCACCTGCAGAGAAGAGAACACCCTCATCACTCCCACAACGATGGATACGGGGGTCCCCAAAGGGCGTCCGTGATCTTGTCAGAAGGACAGAACACAAGTGGCTCCCTTCTTCCTCACAAGTCCTTCAACTCTTAGGAACTCTCACCCATCACCTGATAATCTCAGAAACTCATACTGGGGCTCTTGATCTGTCTCTTCACCTAGTAACAATATTATTCAGAACAAAGATATTCAGGGTAGTAACAACCTAGGATTAGTGTTTCTTGGGATATATAAAAATGGGGCATTTGCCACTGAACACTGTCAGCTAGAAAACAGCAAAACAAAATACAGGAGGTATGGAAGGAAGCAGAGTAAGACAAACTATAATGTTTCACTGTGAAGTTCAGGGGCAGTCTCTTTGACTCCAGCTTAAAGAAAGGTGCAACATAGAGACCTCTAACAGGCTTCATAACCCATTTCCAGCGCCAGCATTCTCTAAAGGCAGGTGGACAGGCAGATAGGGAAGACTATTACTGGCTTCTTTCAGGAATAGTACAGTTATCATTATGGGAAAAGCTGCCTGTTTGAAAAACTACCTGACCACTAGATGGCTCACTTCTCTCCAAGTAGGAGATAGCAGGCATTCTGCGCCCCATTTGTCCAAGTTCTTAAAAATAATTCACAACTCAGGCTGCAGGGCAAAGCAATCAGGAATTAAAAAAAAAAAAAAAAATAGAGACTCTAGCTTACTCCTCTACCCCAAAACGATACAATAAAACAAAAATTGGGGGGGAAAAAAACAAACCAAAACTGGTCTCATCTTTCTCTGCTCTGTGCCTAGAAGGTTTGGTCAGATTCTCAGGTTAGACCCCTCCACCTTGACTGTGGTGGCTTTGTCCTCTTTTGTGGCTGATGCAGAAAAACAAAAGCCTGTGAAAGTTTTCTTTTTTTTGGTAAACCAACCAACCAACCAACCAACCATGAAACAACTATTTGGAATTTCTGCACTAATGCAGAAATAGCTGGTCCCCAAAGTGAAAGCATGCCCTTCTTGTAAAACAATCACCAGTTTCAGTGGTGGCTCACTCCCAGTTCATCAGACTCCAGCTGCAACACACTCTCCTTCCCCACACCTGAGCTAACTACTCCCATTAATGCAAACCACAGCAAAAAGGGGAAAATAAACAGAGGTTAGCGAAATCTAAACATTCAACCAGAGTCGGTTCTGTTATATCTGCTGAGTTCCTCTTTTGTTCACAATTTTGAACTTGGAATGTCCACACCGGCTTAACAAGAGGTTCCACTCAGGCACCACTTGGAACCAGGGTAGAAGTGAACCTGGCAGATTTCCAGAGCCCTGCCCAGGACACAAGGCTGGAAGCAAGATATCCTGGGAGTCTCTGGAGAAGCAGCAACAGCAGCAGCACCATGTCTGTCTCCAATCTCAGGACTCCATCATTGTGAGGAGGTCTGGAGACATGGCTGAGTCACGGAGGAGAGGGCCCCATCACAGTGCAGTGATGCCAGCTGGCATCTTCTTGCAGAAGACCCCTGGTCAGAGGAGACGATCCTGATGTTTGGCAGTGATGCATAGAAAACCCTCTGTGTGGAAGGGAGCCAAAACGGAAACCCAGGACAACTAGCTCAAGGCTTGAGCACCCATACTGGCAGATGCCTACTTGGGGTTTTCGGAGACTAGGGGTATGGGAGTGTGCAGCAAAGGTGGTGACAGGTCCTGCTGCTTCTGAAGCTCCATCTCAGCAGCCCTTTGTAATGCCACCTCTACCAACAGCTGGAAGCTGCTGAAGTCCTCCTTGTCCTGCTCTGGGGGTGTGGGTGGCGGCGTGTTGAAGAGTCCACCTGTAGGGCTTCCAGCCTCTGCCCTGGTCAGCAGGGTGAGTGTGTTACCAGGAGCCAAGGACTTGGGGGGCTCTAGCTCCCCCTGTGGGAAAGAGGCTGTGGGCTTCTCCCCCTGGCCTGGGTGGAGTGGCATGGAGCACACAGACAAGGAGAGCACATTGGTGGGGGCTGGTACGGAGACCGCCATCACGGAAGGGCTGTTGCCCCGGGGGAGGACCACATCTGAGGCCTTACCCCCACGGCGGGAGATGGTAAACTGGTTAGGGTCTTTGCCATCCTTCCGAAGCATGTCTGGCAGAAGACGCCGCCGGGCATTGATGAACCAGTTACATATCTAGAATGAACATAAGAGAAGAAGATGAGTCCATGTGTCCAAAACAAGCTGTGAAGCACCCACTATGTTTTAGACTTCAGGGGCAGAACAGCAACAGACAGGCTTTCTCAACCATCACAGAGAAGTTCACAGTCTGAACAGTCAAATGAATGTAAATGCAACTATGATTTGGTCGAAGAAAGAGGGCGGGTAGGCAGTCTTGTTAGTGACAAGAGGAGCCCACTCTAGTCTTTATGGACCCAATGAATTATTTGGTGAAAGAATTAACTCCTAGAGATCTAAAGGTTAACTTGTTTGGAAAGGGAAAGCATTTTGATTTAGAGGAATAAACTTTGAGCAAAGGCCTAGTAGCAGGTGGTAACAGAAAGCCTATCAGGAAGGACTCAGGAGGATGAACAATGTGGCTGGAGTTTGGTATCTAGATGTTACCTTTATAATGTAGATTTAGTGCTTTAGTCTGAGGCCATTAGAGAACTCTAGAAGGTTTTACTACATGAATAACAGAGTAGAAACAGATAGTTGGGTTAGTGGTTTAGTCTACTTTAGAGGCAGTGGGTTAACGAGAGAGGATTATTCACTACTAAGTTTCTAAAGGCACCAAAGGACTATCATTTAGAAGACAAATCATTCTGTTTCAAGCAAAACATGGCCAGTGGCTCCATATGGATATATATGCATCAACATTCTCAAGACTTTTCCTCATGCACTGCTCTGAGAAAGAAACACTAACCTTGACCCTGTTCTTATCAAACTGTTTATTCACTGGAGCTCTGCACAAGGCATAATTGTTCATTGTCTGTTTGCTTTAAAAAAAAATTAAAAATTGGAAGCTGGATACAGTACCCTACTATTTTATACGCTACACTTTAGGAACTTACCAACTGATTTGCAAGGACACTTTTGATACCCTGACTCATGTCTATCTGGACTCTTTAACAGCCTCCCTCTGCCTACCCTAGACTCATAACTATTCCATCTAGACTCTTTTCCCAAAATGCAAATGACTACCATTCCTCTTCTATGAAATGGCTGTGTCTCCTACCATCTATAGGTTTCATCCAGACTCCTCAGTCTGGGTGTTAAAATCCAACCCTGTCTACTCAAAATGTGGATAAACTGTTGCATGAGAAACTGATTCGTGCACTGCAATCCCAGAGGTATGCAGTTTGAATCTACCAGATACTCTGCTGGAGAAGGAGGGGCAATCTCTTCCTGTACCAGTCGGATCGAATTTGACGGTGTGTGTACACACACACACACACACACACACACACACTAAAGAAACTGATTCGCTCTGTAAAATTTCACCCAATTCACAATAAAAAGTCAAATCACAAATCTTCTTCTACCAAAGCCTACCTTTCCAACCAAGCAGACTTAATCCCTTCCCACCTTTGTATTCTTCAGCCTGGTAAACTGTGTACCAGCTTTCATTCCAATCCCATTTTTTTCCCTTCCCCCCGTTAAAAGGTCCTCTTTTCTACCTGAGGAATGCCTACTATCCTAAATCTTGGCTGATCTAAGATGCTAGAAAACAGGCTAAAATTGAGGGAAGAGGTTCTTATGCCCAGGCTGGCATAAGGCCTGGCATAGTCCTTTTTTTTCCTACATGAGAGGATGACACCATAAAGGTAGACTGACATGTTTAGGGAGAGTGTGAATAGTTTCTGCACATCTAAGTGCAGCAACATCATGGCATCATTTTTGAACCATCTAGGAGGGAGGGCACCAACCACTCCTATCCTTTCTCATTTATTCCTAGAGATACTGTAATCTTACAGTAGTTCATCTGGACATTATATAGAGAGTTATGGGTTAAATTAGAGAAGTTTCTAAGTTTCATGAATGGTATAATCTCATATACCAATGCTGTACTGAAACATCAATTCTTACATTAACTAGTCAACTACAATTGCAAATCATAATTTGCAGGTCCTTCTCCCTCTTCTCCTCTGTTGGAGGGATCCCCATTATCACTTTGCCACCTCAGAAGTAGGTTATCTCCCCTGTGAAGTGTTCATCCGATGCTACTGAGTACTGCACATGTATGTTAGGAAGCTCCAGTGGTGTAGCCCACAGTGGGCTGTGGTGCAAACGTCTCCAGCAGCTCAAATCCACCAGTCTCTCAGGGAGAGAAAGTTGGGAAGTTTCCTTCTGATTTTATGGCCTTGGATACCAGATGGAGGGTCACTGTGAGTCAGAACCAACTTCACGGAGGTATTTAAGCAAGAAATCTTGTTCACTGGAAGGCCAATGGTCAAACCCACCATCTAACAAGTGAAAGTTGTGTCAGTTGCTTCTGTTAAGGGTACAACCTTGAAAACAGTACCCTTTCCTATAGAGTAACCAGGCACTGGAACTGACAGCACTGGGTTTAGTTTGACAGATACAGAATTTTCTTTTGGTAATCACACTTAGTCCTACGCAATCAGATCAACTCAGGTTTTATAACAGACAAACATAAAAGGCTTGGCTGTTTAACAAGTCAGGAGTCCAGCTGAAGCCTGGGCTGTCAGAACTGGAGGAGCAAAACTGACTGCTTTCTTCACGCATTCATAAATTGTTCTAAGGGGAGCTCTGGTGGCCTAGTGGTAAGGAGCTGCAACTACAATCCCAGAGGCACGCGGTTCGAATCCGCCAGATGCTCTGCTGGGGAAGGAGGGACAGTCTCCTCCTATACCAGTCAGATCTGATTTGACGGTACACTCACACAAAAATAATAATAATAATAAAAAAAAAATTAAATTGTTCTAAGATCAGTAGTAAAATCATTACAAAAAGAAGTCAACAATGTCCCAAATGTTTAATTTGTACCAATCCATCATTTCAGACATCCTCCATTCAATATCCCCACTCCTCTGTGTCCCTTAGGTTTGGTGGTTTGCAGGACAGTCTCACAGAGATTCAAACCTGTCAAGTGATACTGTAACACACTGATGAGCCATGGGCCAGGCAAAGCTGGATGTTGTGTCCCAAGAAAGCTAGAGTCCCAAAAGAGAGCTCCCATGAGCTTTATATAGGCCTCCAGTAGGGTAATACAATAAATACTTCATCATAAAATAAACAATCTAGGAAAGACATTTTGAACAATAAATCTCTGACATTACAGAGCATAAGACTTCCAGCTTATTTTACTCACTAGGACAGCGAAAGGTGCTCTGTTGGCATATTGTTGCTATTAGGTGCTGACTAAAACTGATAGCTACCTTATAAACAGATCAAAATCCTGCCCTACCTCATGATCTCGGTCATGCTTGAGCCTGCTGTTGCAGTCTGTTAAGTCAATTCATCTCCTTGATGCTGCTTCTCTTTTTGCTGCTCTTCTACTTTTTCCAGCATGATTTCTTTTTTTCTCGGGACAACATGTCCAAAGTATGTTGGATGAAGTTTCATCATCCTTGCCTCTAAGAAGCACCGTGGATGCACTTTCTCCAAGCCAGATTTGTTTGTTGTTGTGTTTTGGTTTTTTTTAAAAAAGTTTACATTACAGATTTTATTTTAAAATCTAAATGCACTCTAACTCATTGCCATCAACTTGGAATGGACTCAGAGCTGACCCTGCATTGGGTTTCCAAGGCTGTAAACCACACAGGACCCATCTTTCCGCAATTGAGCTTGGTGGAATCCAATCACCAGAGAGGCTTCTGGGTTAGCAGTGACTCTGTATGGACGAAGTCACTAGAGCACCAGAATCTAAACAAAGATCAGAATTAAATCAAAAGCAATTATAAATTTTCATCCATCCGGAAGATTTTGTCTGGGTATTCTTTCATCAGCTGTCGTCTGGCAGCAACTGTGGATGCATACAGAACATCATATCCTCAGGAGAGTGATGCAATTGCAAAGAGCAACGTTGAGTAAATCCTGTCCAGGGTGCGGCAGTCCACTGGCTTCATGGTAAACAGGCAGTGTTCTGTGGGAACCGACAAACTGAGGGACTAGTGTACCTCCCGGGGGGTGGCTTCAGGGTGACAGTGGCCATCTTTCTCCCTGGCAGGAATGCCCGCCCTTGTTTTGTTTTGGCACTCCATGGAGTATTCTATTCAACACAATTCAAAGGTATCTTAAAAAAAGACATCTTCAGTCTTCTTTATTCACTGTCCAACTTTCAGATGAAAAAGAATCAACTGAAAATACTTTGACTTGCATCAGGTGCATATTAGTCTTTAACCTTTTTTAAGAGGCCCTTAAGAGCAAATTTTCCCAGTGCACATGTCTTTCGATTTCCTGACAGCTTCTACCATGGGAGATCACTGTGGAGCCAAGTAAAATCAAGTTATTGACCGCTTTTCACCATCTGTTATAATATTACCTACTGGTCCAGTGATGAAGACTTTTGTGTCCATGATGCTGAGATATAATCTTTGATCATTTTCAGCAAATGCTTCAAATCTTCACTTTCTGCAAACAAGCTTGTGTTAACCACATAATGCAGGTGGTTGATGGGTCTTCCTCCAATCCTGATGCCACATTCTTCTTTATAAAATCCAGCTTCTCACACGATTTTTCCAACACAGATTAAAGACAGAAAAAGGATATAATCCTAATGCATACTTTTTCCTGATGGCATCTTGTGCTTGTCAAGTTTGAATCCACCAGCTACTCAACAGATGAGAGATGGGCAGTCTCCTACCTTAAAGATTTTAGGCCTTAAAAACTTAAATGAGGGTCACTATTCGTTAGACTCAATTAGCAGCAGTGACTCATAGAACCACAAAGTTAGCACTTCCCAGCCTGCTGGGAAGTATACCTTTTGACTACTTCTTGTTTATTCAAGTAATATTCATTTTGTGTCTATGATGCCTAGACCCAGTTTCTTTCTTGGTGCTAGGGAGGCTCTTGAAAATTAAAACAGATACACATTTTGCCCAAGGAGTTTTTAGTTCATATAGTGACGGTGACTGGCAATAAACAAATAGATGAGGGTGAGAGAGTTCTATATATGTTCTGGGAAGGATAACAGCTAAAGGATAAGAAGTGCCACCTGAACAAAGTTGAGG